TATATTAGTATGTACTAATATGAATACATGGTATATTAAAATAAAAGTGTTTTTTAATAATTATAAAAATCCTAGTTTAAAGAATATTTTGTTTATTATTAATGTACAGATAAAAAACACGTTGTTGACACGTACCTACAATGTGACGTAGATTGGGATAACTAATTTATTGTGACAAATTGTAAACATTCTTTCACAATATAATAGAACAGTTGTAAAAACAAGCTGTTCAATACAAACATCATTTGATATAAAACTTCTTTTTTTTTCTACTACCATGACGCGAAGCGATGTCGTGCTTGCGCGAAGGGCCTTGGGCTGCCCAGCTGATCGAATATTAAGATTATACATTAATCACAATCCTAATTGCATCAAATAATTATCGTATCTACAATAGATCACGATTTTTCGCATTTGTAATGAAGAAACTATAATATCTTTAGAGTTTCTTCTTTATTCCATAACACTGATAGACTATATTAGTTCACGTGGCACGTCATGGTACTCATAGGCACCAGAAATTGGTAGGCACACTGCGGCATAAAACCTCACATCGTTTTTTTTTTATGCATTACTTATATATACATATATTTAATAATGTTGAACACGACAAAGCACTACTACATACGATATGATAAGTAGCGATTTACTAGGGAACGGGTGACTTACTTATGCATTTATTTCGCATTTGATTTGTGATTTTAAATGAGAATGTCTGTATTGTAATATTATAGCTAATACTGACAGGCGTAATAGATCATACATTTCCCACGACTTGGGGTTAGGGATAAATTTTGAAGTCGTCGTAGCCTAACGGATAAGACGTCCGGTGCACTCGTGTTGAGCGATGCACCGGTGTTCGAATCTCAGGCGGGTACCAATTTTTCTAATGAAATACGTACTCGACAAATGTTCACGATTGACTTCCATAGTGAAGGAATAACATCGTGTAATAAAAATCAAACCCGCAAAATTATAATTTGCGTAATTACTGGTGAGAACTGGTATTTACTGGTGATAGGACCTCTTGTGAGTCCGCGCGGGTGGGTACCACCGCCCTGCCTACTTCTGCCGTGAAGCAGTAATGCGTTTCGGTTTGAAGAGTGGGGCAGCCGTTGTAACTATACTGAGACCTTAGAACTTATATCCCAAGGTGGGTGGCGCATTTACGTTGTGGGCTCCAGTAACCACTTAACACCAGGTGGGCTGTGAGCTCGTCCACCCATCTAAGCAATAAAAAAAATATTAAAATAATACATGAGAAATATCAAGAGCTTAACAGGAATATAGGTTTGAATTAGCATATTATAGATAAATATATAATATTTATAAGAATATTTATTCGTAAAGCGTTCTTTATATTGTTCTTTATTTAAATTTGAATGACGTTTTCGTCTGAATCTAGATGCTGTATTACGAATATTAAAAACTATACGCGCTGTGATCACAAGGACCAATTCATTTGCAACCTAACATTACATTCAAAGGTCAAAGATCACTTGGTTGATCTATGTTTTCTCAAAGGTATCATTCATTGTGTAGTTACTTGAAGACATTTTTTATTTAACTCAGTTTTCGCGAAGAAACCACACATAAAATAATGAGAATATAATTTTGAAATTAAGTAATTGCGACAATTGTCACCATTCATGTACTTGCATGCATGCTACATATAATCAAACTAAGTTGTTTCTGGAAACATAATAATGAATGAATGTTACGAAGGCTTAACAAAATAGAGAAAACAAAATGTGACAGCTCAATTAAGTAGTAGAATTCCTGCGATGGTTAAATAAACGCTAAATGCTCAAACAGGTCGAGAGGTGCAACCGGTTCGTAGATTTAGATCTACACAAATTCCTACGCTCGTGAATTTGATTTAAAATTAACAAAATAGTCATTAAATAAACTCATACAAAACGAAAGAGAAGCGGTGATTCTTTTTTTTTTTGCCTAAGCTGATGATCTTGAGAGACAATATCAACGTCACTGGGCGAGGGCGGTGCTCTGTATGCTTAGTGCGAGTTTTTAACGTTATCTTTTTTTTTCTACCTATGCTGATAGCCTTGAGAGGCTACATCACCTTCGCCCTAATGTGTAGGTAAGCTTACGGGACTCAAACCGGAGTGTTGCTAACACTGGCCCTAGCAAGAGCAGTGCTTCGCAGAATCTACCACCGGATCGGAATCGCGACCCACTGAGAAGAGTGACGAGAAACTCAGTAGGCTGTGTCTGTGGGTTAATTTACTCGTCGAGCCCTTCGTCGCAAGTGACGGGTTCGACGAGGACGGTGACTGATGCTTGTGGTACCTAAAATCACCGTTAATGGATCGGGAGAATCCATAATGACGTGTTAACGTTCTCGATGGCGTAAAACTTACTCAAATTTGTATGGAGTTGGAAAGTTTGCCTACGTTTGCCGCTAGGAGCGTTGTTCGAACTGCATACAAATTGAGTTAACTTTTACGTTATCGAGAACGTTAAAAAACTCGCACTAAGCACACAGAATGGAATATGGTAACGAAAAAACGGGGCACTCAATACCGTTCAATATGAATTAACTTATAAGACTTCAAGAGATCAAAAGATTTTTCGATGCGTAATAACAAGTTGTTGTTCTGATGAGGATCAACGAATTCTTGGAAAAGTAAAAATATCGGAAAACAAGCAAAACATATCGGAAGGCAAATACAACAAAAATTTTCCTGTAACGACGCGTTCGGTTTTATCATTAATTTGCCAGGCTAAACATTAATTTTTTTACTGCTACATTTGTCTTTTTTGTCAGTTCATTTATTATGAACCCGGAATTCGAAGCAAAAGTTTTTATGATTGGAAGATTACTGGTGGCCCGGAGGCCTTTCCAGTTTCACCAGGACAGGTGGGCGAGCAAAGGCTCAGCCAGGAGGTGTGCTAACAGCTGCCCGAGCGCCTCCGAAGGAGACCTAACAACTCAAGAGCAGCTGCTTCGCGAATGAATCTACTACCGGATCGGAATCGCGACCCGCTGAGAAGATCCGGCGAGAAACTCAGCGGGCTGATGCATGGGTTAGGTTGCACGTCGAACTCTTTGCCGAGTTCGACGAATACGGCTACCGGGGTCCCTAAGCCCTAATGTTAGAGCTGAAGGTGCTTAATACAAGAGTTATTTGATCTGATGGATCCGTAAGGACATGAAGAAGCAAAGGTGATGATGGAAGCCAGCTACGGCGTTGACTCAACACATCAGCTGGTTTTCAATTGCATTCCACTGCGCATATTTTCAAAAGCCTTAACTAAATCGATCGATTATGAACTTTAAAATATTATCCTGTCAGCTGTCAGCCAGTCCATTATCACCTCACTGCGTTTCTACGAACGGTTAATGGCCAATATTTTAATGGCTAAATTAAAATTATTCATTTTGTTTCATACATTATTATTGAATAGGTATTCGAAGTGTGATAAACCATTAAACGATTTATATACAATGAAGGTCATAAACCGTACGTAGCATAAAACGTTCGTTGTGTAACGATGAGCTAATGACAATTGGCACGCTAAATGGCGCCGGCAGAATTGTTTTATGATTTCATCAGTATATGGCGACGTCACTAAATGATTCCGAGTATCAATGTAAAAATAAGACGGTCGCTACGAGTTTTATGTCTTTTGTGTTAGAGCCGGAACTTTATTTAATTCACAAATAAACGGAGTACGAATACACACAATACCACCAGAATTTTATTAATAGACAGGCAGACCATTATCATTTCAGATCATCAAACCTAAAAAAACATAATTATTCTACAATACGCGCTTCGATTCGCGAATCTACAATACGGATTTCGGACGAAAGTCCAAGAGATTATAGAGGCTTAAAAATACAAAAATATATATGTAGTTGTGTAATATTATTTACTCCTTTATTGTTCATTAGAATGCGAAATACATTTTTCAAAATCAATACAAAAATCTTCGCTTAAAATTATTAACACTAATGTTAGATTAGGTTCTGTCCACGAGGAGTTCTATCGACAATTTCTTTTATCAACTCTAAGAGACACTTGCCAAAGGAAATTCGATACATTTAGTATATTATTCGAATAGAATACGATATAGAAACAAAGTTAGTTACAAGAAATTTGCAACACCAAAAAAAAAGGTTAGTTCATAGGTCATTAATAGCAAGTATAAAAACTATAGACTGTGCTTTAAAGAGATACAGACATGTCCGGTTTTCGCTCAACCAGATTTAACTGTACCTAGTTATTATGTAACTTAATATTATGAGTTCACAATAACATCGATCAATAAAGAGAAAACAAAGTTTATGTATTGGCTGGAGAGCGCGTTCCATGTGCGGGTCATTTCTAGAGCAATTTTTTGCTTTAAATCAACCATGTTTTTTTTTCTCATTCATCTGTTATTTTACTATAATTGAATCTTCGATTTTATGATACATAATGGACGTTTAAACGCTATGGTGTTTACAAGGCTACGCTTAACACGTGAGACGAAAGCTTGTATTTCCAAAACAATGTTTATTAATCGCTCCGTCTTTAGATTAATAAAAAAGAAACAGGCTATTATATAAGTCTATCAAGTTGTTTGTGATGAATTAAAAACAATGGCTGTACGATCTGTGGCGTTTCGTAAAAATCTAACAAATTTAACAACAGGAAATACATAACTGTGTTTGATTAATTCTCTCGAACTTCATTCAACCTGGACGAGTCATAGATAAGGCTTAGACGTCAATAGACGTAATAATGGATTTGGCGACTGTCCAACAGGACGCATTATGGAAATTCATGTAGTTCACCAGATGCCACATAAAACTCTTGTCATGTTCGAAGACATATTTATTGTATAACATAAATAGGGTTGCACACTAAATTTAATAACGTTTTGTGAAATAATTACTTTAAAAACAAATTAAAAATTAAAGTTTTAAAGTATTTTCTTAATTAATCAGCCATTTAATTTAAATTTTCTCAATAATCCATTACATTTTGCAGCGAGGAACATTCTTCAAGAATTTGATTTCTCACTGACTCCCCTATTGACGTGCTGCGGCTTCTTCATAATGTATCTGATAGAAGAATTGGTGCACATATACATCCATCACAGAGAGAAGAATAATGGACAGACAGATCTACTGGTCAGAAATTTGAGCGTGCGCAAGAGCCGCTGCACAGAGGGACATAGTAACGAAGCTAAAAACTCTACTGAATCCGGAATTGAATCACCCGAAAAGAATAGGGTAAGTTTGACATTTCCTTTCTTGATTGGCACAGATTAAGTACCGATTGTTACTGGTGGTAGGACGTCTTTATTGGACTTAGGACGTCTTTAGTAGGCGTAGGACGTATTTACTGTTGGTAGAATGTCTTTACTGGGCGTCGGACGTATTTACTGTTGGTAGGACGTCTTTACTGGGCGTCGGACGTCTTTACTGGTGGTAGGACGCCTTTACTGGTGGTTGGACGTCTTACTCGCGATAGGTGGTAGCACCACCCTGCCTATTTCTGACGTGAAGCAGTAACGCATTTCGATGTAAAGAGTAGGGCAGCCGTGGAGTTGTAAAAACTGAGACTTAGAACTCATGACTCGAGATGGGTGACGGCATTTACGTTGCTGATGTCTATAGGCTCCGGTAATCATTTAACACCAGTTGGGCCGTGAGATCGTCCACTTATTTAAGCAAATAAATAAAAATTATACCCGACCAGCGTTAATTGTTTAGATGAAACCGAAAGATATGTTTGCACGTCCCGACATTTATTTAGCAACAAGGTGAGAGAAATACATATTTAATAATCCTCCATCCCTGCATCGATAATCCTCAATGCTTGGGGTCGTGGCCTCATGAGGCTTTCTTGGGAAAATACACATGGTCAGGTCCCGCGTCCTTCCACGGTAGTGCTTTTGGAGGAGATTTAGTTCTTCGATGCCGCTCAAGCCTTGTTTGGGTGCGGCTTATAAACCACCGCCCGACGTTCGGTGTTAACTGTTTTACGGTGGAAAGAACTCCAATTCAACCCTCCTCTTTCCTCATCCGGATTTCGGACCGGCATTGGCAGAGTTAATCTAATGTTATTTAATTAATGTTTTTAGTCTAATACCATATGTAGGAATCTTTAAAACACTTTGTATGTAAATGTAATATTAAATTGAAACTAAAATTGTTACCCCCAGGAACATGAAGCGAACAACCACAATCACGCAAAGCACCACAGCCACATGCCTATACAGGTCGGTGATGACGTCACATCAGCGCTTCGAGGTCTGCTCATTGTTCTAGCTCTTTCTGTTCATGAGCTCTTCGAAGGCTTAGCCGTTGGCTTGGAGAACAGCACTTCCCATGTTTGGTTCGTATTTATTTAACAAAACGAATATATGTAATTAAATTTTCAAGGATATCGTTTCGAATTTATTTCTAAACAAGGAACAAACTTTAAAAACAAATACTTCACTTTTTTTTATTGCATAGATGGGTGGACCCAGTGAAGTTGTTACTGGAGCCCATAGACATCTACAACGTAAATGCGCTACCCACATTGAGATATAAGTTCTAAGGTCTCAAGTATAGTTACAATGGCTGCACCACCCTTCAAACCGAAACGCATTACAGCTTCATGGCAGAAATAGGCAGGGTGGTGGTACCTAACCGCGCGGACTCACAAGAGGTCCTATCACCAGTAATTACGAAAATTATAATTTTGCGGGTTTGATTTTTATTACACGATGTTATTCCTTCACCTTGGAAGTCAATCGTGAACATTTGTCGAGTATGTATTTCATTAGAAAAATTGGTACCCGCCTGCGGGATTCGAACACCGATGCATCGCTCAACACGAATGCACCGGACGTCTTATCCTTTAGGCCACGACGACTTCAAACGACGATTTCAGGCGAAATTACTATTGTACTAAACTTGCTTCATTGCATTCATATGATTACATTAACACAAGATTGCACTTTCATGTCCCCTCAAGAATTAAATATGTGGTTACCAAACTACTTTCACTACTAATACCATAGATAATAAACTTAATGTTTAAGACTTGATTAATACTCTTTTAAAATCCTTGCTTTATTTCCTAAAGAGACCTATGGTGTGTCCTTATTTAAAATTTTAATTTAATGATACCAATCCACAGTAATATTGTTGACTCTAGTCTATAGTGCGAATGGTGTACTTTTCGCCTGCAGTTTTTTTATATTAATTCTATTCGCCAATAGATGGCGCTGTTCAATCGTTTCACTTTCGTAACCGCTGATCATTTTGCAGGTACATGTTGGGCGCCGTTTCTGCACACAAACTTGTCATCGCATTCTGTATTGGTGTAGAACTTATCGCAACACGTACGAAGACTTGGTTGACAATTGTGTACATCACAACGTTCGCATTTGTTTCGCCCCTCGGTATCGGCATTGGCCTGATCCTGGTAGGAGGGGAAGGAGCCGCTACCCAAGTAGCGTCTGCGGTCCTACAAGGTCTTGCTTCGGGTACACTGGTCTACGTCATCTTCTTTGAAATCTGGAAGGGAGATAGATCCGGGATCCTACAGTACATAGCGTCATTGTTCGGTTTCTTCCTCATGTTCGGATTGCAACTGCTAAGTAAGTACTGAGTAAATTTCTATTATTTATTTATTTTAAATTCATTTATCTATACTATAATATTATAAGGCTGAATAGTTTGTTTGAACGCGCTAATCTCAGGAACTACTGGTCCGATTTGAAAAATTCTTTCAGTGTTAGATAGCCCATTTATTGAGGAAGGCTATAGGCTATATAACATCACGCTAAGACCAATACAAGCAATACAACCAATAAAGAATGTTTCGAAATCGGGGTTTTTTTAACCTTTTGAGAGCTTCCGCTGCGTGCGCTGCAGAAACGGTTAAAGTTTCGCTAAAATAATTTAAGACAGAATTGTTCCCCTTTAAAAGATCTAACAAAGTCCGCGACAGCATTTGTCTATATGTTAAGGTTGGCTCACTATAACATTTTCTATGCTAACCAAATTTGTTCTAAAATAAAGCATTATTTGTGAACTATTTTACGCGGACGAAGTCGCGGACAAAAGCTAGTCTTTGATAATGTACCTACTTGTACCTGCAATCAGAGTTTGTATTCTCTTTTCATCAAATATAAAATATTAATCTCTGAATATTAGGATATTTAATATTAATTATACAGGTTCATTCAATAAGCTGGTAAATTTTATTATTATTTATTTGCAGCTGGTCATTCACACAGCCATTCTCACGGCGGCGGCGACGGTGATCACGGACATTCGCACGACCGCTAACCGTGCACCACTGCTTCGTCTATAAATAATTTAGCATATTATTTCGTTATATAGTCATATGATAATACCTATGCTAAAATTTTACGAAAATGCCAGTTTAAAGAATACAAAGCTCAAAATCACTGTGTTGGTCATAAAACGAAAACTTATTAAAATAAAACAGACGTAGATCTCCTTAATTGGAATCAGTATTTTTTGTAAAAAGTATTGAAGGGCTTATTCATTGAAATACAAGTGAGATTCATAAATAAGACACGACTACGGCTGTTTAGTTAAGTAAGTCATAGGCTAAAATCTAGTCACGTTTTTATAAAAAAAAAAAAAACATAAACTAGACGTAGTTAAAAAAATACCTGATTAAGTTTGAGGGAAGAAGTTAGGTACAAAACGAATTATGCTATGTAAACTCAACAATAATAATATGTAATTGAAGTGCGTAATACAATTTCCGGATATAAAATAGACAGCCGATTTTTTGTAGACTTTGTAAATATCAAAAGTTTTTTATCTGTGATAATTAAAAGTGAATTTGTAAAATGAAAGTAACTATTCGGTTAGGTCATACGTTGAATTTGTAAAATGAAAGTAACTATTCGGTTAGGTCATACGTGAAGTTATAAGAAATTTCTAGATAGATTTTTTGTTACCATATTATTATAGTATATACAGTGTACTATGAATAATTGTCTGCCAACTAAAAATTTACAAAATAAAATTCTTCTTAACAAAATTAACGATGCCACTAGTGGAACGCCGTTACTATAACAATAAAATGATCTTAACCAATAATTATGTATATCTAATAATGAAAGAAACGTGTTTGTGAATAGTTTTAAAAATAATTCAACACAAAACAGGTATAAACTATGCTTTTTAATTTATTAGTTTTAACGATTTATTGTAAGGTTTGTTACCTCTGAAACAGGTGCATGACTGCACGACATTATTTTTAAGACGGTTTAGTTTAAATTTAATAATACTTTGCCCACTTTGTTTGTAAGATTTATGAAATAAATGATATATTTAAAAATTTTATTTTTATTCTAAAGTCTATGTTACTTTTTTTATTATGGTAAGACCTCTCGTGCACTGATGGTAGGACCTATTGTGAGTCCGCACGGGTAGGTACCACCTCCCTGCCTATTTCAGCCGTGAACCAGCAATGCGTTTCGGTTTGAAGGGTGGGGCAGCCGTTATAACTATACGGAGACCTTAAAACTTATAACTCAAGGTGGGTGGCTGCATTTACGTTATTGATGTCTCTATGGACTCCGATAACTACTTAACACTAGGTGGGATGTGAGCTCGTCCACCCATTTGTTCAATAAAAAAAATCATACTCATTGTTACTCATTCATAAAAAAAAAACATGAAAGTGCCCAGTTTTGAACCTGTAAGATCTCTAATATCAATACTGTACTAATTTATAAAATTTAATTAACAAATTCATTTTTTACGTATCGCAATTGACTTCTTGTGACGCCATTGTTGCCAGTGTCGGGTATATTTTCAACTAAACACTAAACGCAACTTAAGTGAAAAATGCAAATTATGTTTGTATGATGTATTTGAAATTGTAATCTATTGGGATAAAATTAAATACATAAAATCGAATGAAGTAGAATATAAAGAGATGAAATATAATAACTTCTCAGTAAAATGGTAGGAATTTAAAAGAGATGCTAGTGGGCCTTATAATGGAACCCGAGAAACCATGTTCAGTGACTTTGTTTCATTTCCTCATACTTGTACACTTTCGCAGACGCTGTACGGTTTATAAGCCGCTATTATTACATTAATACAAATTTGTACATGGAGAAGTACTTAATTAACAAAACTGAACAATTCACACAACTTCGTTCCTCCCATTTTTTCCAAAAAATCCATCAACTTTAGTTAATTCCGCTCTGTTTTATGTTCTCCTTTTTTCACTATGGCAATCGACTTCTAGCGAGGCTTTGTGTTCAATGTATTTTATCTATATGTTATGTTTCGTTAACTAGTACATACTTAGATCAAATATATTAAGTGTATATAATCTATGTACTTAGACATTAAATTAATAAAATTTATCCAGGTTAGGTACTGCGAAATTTAAATTTTCCACGTATGTACACCAACACAACAACGACCTATCAACCTGCTTATAGAGCAGAACTGCCACCAGTAAACAATTTTCACTGCACAGGCGTTTATAATAATAACCTATTAATGTATTAGGATTACTCAACAGCTAAGGAGAAGAATACAATCAACTATGAGTAATTTTCATTTTACATCAATTTCACTCTTTTTCCCTCAATTCTATCCTATTTCTGTTCTGCACTCCTTCTACTTAGCTTAGAAACTTTAATTAATTATAAACAAATAAAAGACGAACAAAATTTTTTTACATTCGAACATTAACGAACAAACGACGAAGAAAAAAATTAAAACCAAAAAAATCCGAAAATCAAAAATAGGGAAACGAAATTCAGTGAGCGGACTATGTTGAACGTTAGTTTTAACATAGAGACATAAATAAATATATCTATCTCAATATTAGAGCATGCAAAAGATTGAATGAGATGTTAGGTTAAATAATATAATCTTACTTTATGATGAGATGAGAATTGAGAATTCTTTTGTAAGTTTTTTTTAAAGGGATTTAATGACCTGGTAACTGAGACCTTTAAGTCATGCTTATTTTAATTTATATTCTTATTTTTATGAAAAATGATAATATGGAGTGAAATGAAATGAAGATGATTAATTTGAGATATTAATTAACTGGGATGAAATAAAATGATAACAGATGATATGGGATGAAATATAATCTCAGTAAAATGGTGGTCATTTACTGAAATTTTTTCAGTGGGCTTTTTGGAGGATACCGGGAAGTTACTTCTAGCGACTTTGTTTCATTTTCCCACATTTGTGCACTTTCACAGATATTAAACAGTTAATAAACCACCGTTATTACACATTTAAACCCGAAGAAACACTAAATAGACAAAATAAAACAAATCATACAACTTCACTCCTCGCCTTCCCGCCAAAAAGTCCTTTTGTAGGTTTCTTTCTATTCAAATATAGAGTAGGCACGGATATAGAAGTGGGATAGAGTAGGCAAACGCATTAAATGTAAAAAATTGTGTATCTTAACTTATTTAAATAAATTCTTTTAAATACTTTTAATCAAACAATAAATAGAACAGTACTATATCAGATTTTATCTGTTACTTATAAATAACAGCTCATAATTTATCTCATCCTATCTTCGTGGTATGTCAATAAATTGTATGACTACAATTTTCTAATTTAATACAATTAGCCATGTCTAAGTACTTTATAACTCTACAGGCGACAAAAACACAACAGCAATAGGTACCTACGTAGGTACCTGGAAAAGCCACCTACGAAACTGCAAATAAAAGCAAAATCAAAATAAGCGTCAGGACGGGTAGGCAGTAAATGAGGAATATTTATAAAAAGCAGGCTTTTAAAAGTTGCAGATAAAAAAGTAAGTTTATAATTTTTTTATTTAAAATTTTCCAAACAATGTTGGCATTGGGCTTAGCCTAGTCAAGTCTAGCAAATGTCACAGTATGTAATCAACTTCACAAATTAATTTCGTAAATCCAAATTTCGTAAATTTATATCGAAATTTAACTCGCAAGATTAGAAAGTTAGTTGTGACATAACAAGTTGAAAGGTGAAATTAATAGGTGGTTGACCTTGGTATGCAAAATGAGTTAATATTATTTAGAAAGTATATTAGTTTTCATTCAATAATTACAGAGCGGGCCGAGTGGGTCTCCTGTTAAATTTTATTTCTGTTTTTTTTTTTTAAATGGCTCTTCTAATCAATTTTATTTGTTTTCCCGCACCTCCAACTAGTAAGTAGGTCACGAAACAAAATTTTAATTCTATATTTTGTTTATTAATTTTTATTTTGAAGATAATTGATTGTGATTTTAATCTATTTGGTGTGTGTGGATGTGTATGGTATTTACTGGAGTGCAAACACTACAACATAAATGCCACCACCTACTGAGCTATACCACTAATACATGTTGTGGAATTTTATGTTTCATTTCCATTGAAATTCGAAATTTTACTAGCTAGAAATATTAACTTAACCCATAAGTAACCTTTGGTTGATCACCACATTTTCCTCATCAAATTATGTTCATAGAATTTATTGAGGCCCAAAAATTATTAGATAGATATCAAGGTTGAATGATATTAATGGCAAATCTCGTACAACTGCTTTATATTCATTAAGATCAAATAAACTACATCAAACTAATATTATAACCATATATAATTATTTATTATCAATAGATGGTATTTAGATTGTGGTAAACCCTTAATTTGTAATTTTTAGCTGAGCCTCGGATATTAACCCCAAGGATGTCTGCGCAAGGCCTAACCTCTGAAGCTCAATTGCGATACCTTTTACAATGGTTTGGAGAGTTTAGTGAACTACAGCGTGAAGATTTTTTGCCGGTACTTGCTGCATCACGATGTGATAAGCCTGAACAATTGGCTGCTACCATGGCAAATATGACTTGTCAAGATAAACCGGTCAGCCTATTTCAGTGTCGAGTGAGTAAATTTTTCATCATGAACATATATTTTTTTACCTTTTTGAACTTAACCTATTCACCATTTAACAATTCACCTTGTAGCTAGTGCTGGATAACACTCTATGACTACTTGTTGTGAAAAAACACAGCTAAACCCTGAACTTGTCTACTTACCTAACAAAAAAAGGTTAATAGACAAAAATATAACAATAACTGTTATGCTTGTTATGCCATTGTAATAACTAATACATAATTTATTTAACTTGAAAAAGTGACTTTACTTATCATTGCATTTGAGTTACAATTTGGTGGTCCTCTTTTTTTTTAAATATATATAAATATTTAACGAATGTAATATTTGAGTCGACTATTATCAAAGCCGGCAATGTGACTTTTGGACAATTATTGGTAAATCAGAAAAACGAAATATTGACTTTGTATTCCATTGGCAGTCATAAAACTCTTCTGAATGACATCTTAGATAAATATCAGGTTAAGTATTAACCTTTATTTAATGCAGGTTTTGAACTGTATTCTTTGAAGGAGACGATTATATTCAAATCAATCTGTATTGACTTAACAATAACTTTTTTTTGTCCAAATGCACAGATTGCCACCTTTGATAATAGATGACTCATTTATAATATTTATAGATGATTTATTTCTAGACTACATTTATAGGAACTGAATTCTGATTTCAGATCAAACTATTCAATGAATGGTTTCCAACTTGGTCTCGGGAAGAGCAAGACAGATTTGTCACTAAAATATCTGAAATAGACTCCGAATTTGGTGAGAAACTTCACGAAATAATCACTGATGGGCCTAAAGTTAATGGAACTGATGAACCTTGGATCAATGAGCAGAATGTAGAAGCCGAACGCGAGGATCAGGTACCAGAAAACATTCCTGTTGAAATTGTAGCTGCTTCATAATTTATATTTTATTTATATTGACACGCTAAGTATTATATTGTCTCAAATCATAATTGTGAATCTCTTAAAATAGTTTTTTTAAATGAGCATTTTTGTGTTATAAAATTTCCTGTATAGGACATTACCATAACAAGTATTAACAATTGTGCCCCAAATTTTAAAAAGACTTATTCCAGTTTATAAACTAAAGCTGTATCATTCCATTTATGCATATTTTGTGATTTTAATAATGCGGATGTTAGTTGTTTTTATACATATTTATAAGAATACTGATTACAATTTGGTAATCTTTTAATAAAATAATAATAGGAAAACAAGAAAATATTACATAAAAGCACTCCAATGAGTACAAATGTTACAGTATTTTTTTATTATATTATTTATTGTTTTTAATAATAAAAATATTTTTTTTCTAATGCACACAATGGTTATCGTTCCAGAACTTAAATTATCTGTAATATGAACAGGTTAAAGTAGAAATGAACCATGAATGTTATTTTAACCGTACCTAATAATATTTTTTTAACATACAATCAGTTTCACATATTTAGCAGCTGTTTTAAAATAAGCACAAAATTGTATTGATTATGTTCTTATTAATATTTTATCGTGAGTTATAAAATATTTAAGTCAGATCTTAGTAATTAGCGTTGAGAATGTAGTATTTTATAAAATAACAAAGCTGTAAATGTACATTGTGTAGCAATGTATGCTTGACAATCAAATTTTCTTTACTAATGATGATCCAAGCTTCCCTAGTGCTAGTGGCTAGTGGACAAGACTCCACAGTAAATGCGTTAACTCAACACACAATAATATTAACGAATGTCTGCCAGGGAAAAGGAAAATAAACACTATTTTGTAAAAATGGAATCTGCAAACTTAGTGTATTTAGAGGTTTCACAGGTAGGTATAAAAATCCAGTCCAATTTCTAATACAAAGCACCTTACGTAGAGGTGTAATATATTTTATATATTATTATATGTGGCTTTTGTAGTCGCTCCTAATTTCGTGTATCACGATATTTTTGTATAATACGTAACAGAAGCCGTATGCTGAGAACACAGTGATTGAACAATTGACAGTTAACCAATATGATTTTGATGGTTTTGAAGGGTTTACTTGTGACGTAAAAATTAAAAACACGTGTGGCACTTGGGGACTGCCGCGGTAAACCTATTGCATAGCATTTTTTATCAACTTATGCAATTATAATTAGCCAATAATAATTTAATATTAAAACAATAATAAAATAAGACCACACTATATTTATAAACATTAACAAAATGGGCAGACTTTTCATGATGCGCATGCGCTTTTTCACAAATACTACACAAGCGCAACGTGTGAATGTGTTGAACGCGAGCTACATGGTAGGCGGAGTGGGGGTGTTAGGTTTTATTTTCGTTACGGAATTTCTTGATTCGGTCGCCGCGCTCTAAGCCCGCGATAAAAGCTATGCAATACCTTAAAAAATATTTAGGTCCAATTCAGTGAATATTAATTATCCATAAAAACCTTCCTTCGATTAAACTACGACATTCTCAACGCATATATTTGATTATAAGTTTATGTATTAATTTATCGCATATATTTAATCTTTTAAACGCCACGAATTCCACTTGTTCTTAGCTCCAGCTTGTTCTAGCTTCTTAGAATTGTATTCAAATACCGACAAAAACTAAATCAAATATGCATCAAACAACAGAATTTTACTCATTTTAATTTTCTCCATATCTGAAAACCTGCCAACCCATTTTTGGTGGCGTATAAATTGTTGTGGCCTATAGGACAAGGCGCTTGGCTATAATAGTACTGAACAATGACACTATGCCCATGCTCAAAACACGCTGGCAGGGTCATGTTTTTCCAATGATGATGGTTAAATAACATCATATACTGAAAATCAAACCTCAAGCCTCAAGTTGGGTGGCTATATTCACATTATGATATATATGGTCTTTGGTAACCATTTAAGGCCAGATGAACCGTGAACTCTTGAACTGAAATATACTATAAAAAAGAAGAAAAAAATCTCATTTTTTTGCTGTCCTAGCACACAACTCTACAATGACCTTCGCTTTTTTCTCGATCGTATTCTCAGGCGAATTTTGGAGCGCCTATCGGTCTACCCAATATTCTAATAAAAACTAAAAAATAAATGTATATAAATCTATCTATACATTGTTATTCCTAGATCTGAAAGACCCAAAATGAGTGCCAACTATTTTAATACAAAACTAATATTTAATTCGTTACATTCGCAAATTGCAAAATAAAGTTACATTCCTTACAGTTTTTATAATTACTTTATAATTAAAAAAAAAGAAGATTGATTTAGGTTTAATAAACATTTATTGATATATTTATACTTTATTAAAAATAACATTTTTGTAGTATACAATAATGTGTTTTGTTTTATTTCAATTTTATTATTCAATATAGCATCCGGACTGTTGATAATGGCTGCTTATGGTTCCGCTTTAAGTTTTATAAGACACTAATAAAAATACACTGTGATTTTTACTGAGACTTAATTGGAACATCAACTAGCCTAAAATAACAAATGAATTTGGCGAACAAGTACATAATAAATATAAGTAATTGCTTTTTTATTATTTAAAATCTTAGTTATGTACATTTTAACAAACAAAAAAAAACTTGATTGACATAAGGAAAACCACATAAATAATTTAAAACGTAAATAGTTAATGTGAAATATTATTCAGGAAATCTATTTTCGAAAACTGAGTCTAATAATTTAATATTACTATGATGAACGACGTTTATTGTTATGGTAAAACCCGTTTTTTACGAACTAGTTTTGTCTAATTTAAACATTAAGCTGTCTACAATAAAACCAGAAATATACTGCATTGATTTTAAAACTAACGAATTTCCAAAATTTATTTAGGTAGATTCATTTCGCTCAGTCCCAATCACGTAAAAACATTCACCATAACGTCACAGTTCGTTGACATCTGTGTGCTTAGTGCGAGTTTTTTAACGTTCTCGATAGCGTAAAAGTTCGCTCATATTAGCCTACGTTTGCCGCTAGGGGCGCTGTTCCAACTGCATACAAAATTGGGTTAACTTTTACGCTATCGAGAACGTTAAAAAACTGGCACTAAGCACACTGTACAAATCTGCGATTATGTCTCGAATAGCGCCGACCTTCAAGAATTTTCATGACCCAGACTGGCGGACTTAAATGTTATCCACAACCTACGTTGCGAGGAATTATGTTCCACGTCATCGTACAATAAAAAAGACGACAATTTCATGGCACTGATTGTAAACTACACGCTAATTACAGATTCACATCACTACGACCGTTTTCTTCACCGAAACTCACAGTTTGTTAATACCAAATTACTTAGGTATATATCGTCATTACTGTTCGAGTTTGGAAAGAATCCAATCCATAAAAGATCCGACTCTGGTGTAGACGCCTGGCCAGCCTTCGGTGCCACAGGGCGAAGGTCCGTAGGAAACCACCCCGAAAACGTACCAATTATTGGCCTTAGGCGATTGGCCCATTAGCGCGCCTCCTGAGTCTCCTCGGCAGGAGTCCCTGCCCGCCAAGCCGCCAGCGCATATTTGTTTATTAGTCACGCGCCGATCCACGTTGCTATATACGTTAGCACACTCCTCTCTGTTCACTATAGGCACTCGAACCTTTAGTTTCACATCAGATTCGGATCCTGTAATATCATTGATTACCATTAGGACGGTGTATTCAGTGTATTCTTCAGCAGCAGCATCAAGCTCGTGCAAAGACTAGACTTAGGCTTAGCGTTGGATAAAAGAATAATATTAATATTTTGAAACTTTTAGAATATAAACTTGAAGTATGAAGAAATATTCATGCCAAAATATAGCTATATATATAGACATGCTAGATTAGGAGCCTGATTAATATTATCTTATAAACCTAGAGGAGATTAAAGCCTCGATATAATGTGGCCCACCTGGTGGCCTAGTATCGTAGATCCCTTCTTGCTCGTAGATATTGTAGTTCTCTGTCAAATTTAAGGCCAATTAACCTAACGGATCCAATGTATTATAAAGTACAGAAGATCGCAAGGGAAACAATAGTTGACTTATAGAAAATTAGGGAATTCCTATACTCCTACAAGTCCTTCGACTATTCATCAAGGGATACGGGCCTGCGAACACAATCACCTTAAGCTACTACTACATTCCCTTATCAATAGAAGCAGTATTCTGTTCTCAAATACGTTATTTTTCTCATATTTTCCTGTCTCAGGCTTTTATTTTGTTATTATACCTATCCTAACTGTTTCAAAGTATATTGCAAAGTATATGTACATTCTAAGCTATATACTATTGAGTTTTGCACCTCATTACTATAAGTAGGTAGCACTCAGTAGCGCCTTAGCTTTTTGATGTCCATGGGCTGGGATAATCAGTCCATCAAGTGGACCGAGAACTAGTCTGTCCGTCAATAAAAAAAAACCTTCCAAACATTTATAGTGATAACATCGACATTACTAACGTGTTTCAGTTTTTCCCCATCCGGCTACTTCCATATAGTCACTTTCAAATTCATTCTGCCTCAACTCGTTGCTTGTCGGTAGACAGATGGGACTTACGAAATCTGAAATATAAAAATTAAATATGAATGACCAAACAAACCCCTCTCAGTTATTTACTTTTTTTAGGGCACAATAGTCTTTATTCTGGGACTTTCGATATTTTATCCCCGTATTGTGTTGTGTTGGGTGGCGTTTACGCTTTTTTATGGTTACCACTTTCAATAACCGGGGTCGTGTGGTAGACATTTTGACTGTACTGAGTACATAACATCGTAACTTTTTTTTTTCTACCTACCTAAGATGATGGTCTAGAGAGACNTTATTTACTTTTTTTAGGGCACAATAGTCTTTATTCTGGGACTTTCGATATTTTATCCCCGTATTGTGTTGTGTTGGGTGGCGTTTACGCTTTTTTATGGTTACCACTTTCAATAACCGGGGTCGTGTGGTAGACATTTTGACTGTACTGAGTACATAACATCGTAACTTTTTTTTTTCTACCTACCTAAGATGATGGTCTAGAGAGACCATGTCAGCGTCGCCGGGCTAGTGAGCTCACGGGGCTCAAACCTGACGATGTTGCTAACACGAACCCTAGTAAGAGCTGTGCTTCGCAGAAACTACCGCCGGATCGGAAAAGCGACCCACTGAGAATATCCGGCGAGAAACTCAGTGGGCTGTGTCTGTGGGTTAATTTACTCGCCAAGCCCTTCGTCGTAAGCGACGGGTTCGACGAGAACGATGACCGATGCCTGGGGTACCTAAAAGCACCGTTAGTGGATCAGGAGGATCCGAGATGACGTGTTTTGGGTGACGTCGACTGTTTACCATTTGGTCCGCAGGATGCGCTATGTAGTTACCAGCGGCCACGATGAGAGGATTCTTGTGTGTGCCACTTTATCGAAACGGCCATACATAACATAAATACTTTCTCAATGCAAAAGAAAGTGGGATTTCTTTGCGGTAAAAATACAAAGGGATCAGGGCGGTGATGGCTTCATCTACTTCAGATGGGCAAAGTTTCATCTTTATATCGGGACCGTAGACGGTCGCAGTCCTCAATACCTATAACGGCGATTATTTGATTGTCCAGAATTTTATTGATTTCACTGAGCTAACGCAAATTAAATGAGGCCTACGACAGAAAAGAGAAGTGTTAAAACTCATATCAATTGTTTTTATGTCTCGTATTGTTTGGGCCTCAATGAAAACAAAATTTGGACACCCTGGTCTGCATTATAGAAAATTTTGGTTTCTGTCTTTTTTAAGTAGAGTCTAAGTCTAAGTATTTTATAGGTCTTTTATATCGGGGCTGTATGCTCGTATATCTACATTGGCAGTAAAAAATATATACCATTGAACTGCGCATTCCTTGAGAGTCTCAAGAGGGCAATATCGTTCTGCTGGTCTTTGTCGTTTGGATCATAATTTTCATGTGCAATTATTTGTTGTACGGGTATATCCTGGACGGGGCCGCTACAGTCGCCCTCCACGCAGTCCGTCTCGGTAGACGTGTTCCATTCGCCCAATCGAACCTGTGATCTGATGATTTAATATTTAAATATCGATTTAAAAATAACACTTAAACTATAATATTAATAAAGGATAGCTTCGAATTTGACGTTTTATTTATAGCCCTTGTGGGCAGACGAGCATACGACCCGCCTGATGGTAAGTGGTTACCGTCGCCCATGGACTTCAGCAATGCCAGGAGCAGAGTCAAACCGCTGCCTACCAAGAACAAGAACATGTCAAATAGTTTGGCATAGTAATCGGCACGAGTCGTAAGCTCTGGACAAAAGAGTCGGGGGGCGTCTGCGCATCGCACACTTAGGGTAAGTTAAATGCATCACTCACGTATTACCTTTCTTATAATTCAATTAACCTGGTACAATTTGGGATTTAAAAATGTATTAGTCATTTTATAATAGTTTTGTATAAATAACCCTATTATTAACCGACTTCCAAAAGGTTATCAATTCATCCTGTTTTTTTCTGTAAAAAGGTATGTTGTCGAGTTTTTACCGCTAATTTAATTTTCCCGTGTGGTGACGGGGTGACGGGATATGGAAGAAATACACGAATTTATATTATTAAGTTTTAGATTATAGACGATTTTCATTAATTTCTCTGGTACCGGGGAATCCATTTGAATATTATTGTTAAATCTAGAAATACTAAGTTTACCACCTTTGTTTTCTTTTTATTGCTTGGATGGATGGACTAGCTCACAGCCAACCTGGTGTTAAGTGCTTACTGGAGCCCATAGACATCTACAACATAAACGCGCCACCCACCTTGAGATATAAGTTCTAAGGTCTTAGTATGTTACAATGGCTACCCCACCCTTCGAACCGAAACGCGTTACTGCTTCACGGCGGAAATAGGCGGGGTGGTGGTACCTACCCGTGCGGACTCCCAAGAGGTCCTACCACCAGTGATTACGAAAATTATAATTTTGCGGGTTTGGTTTTTATTACACGATGTTATTCCTTCACCGTGGAAGTCAGTCGTGAACATTTGTTGAATACGTATTTTATTAGAAAAATTGGTACCCGCTTGCGGGATTCGAACACCGGTGCATCGCTACATACGGATGCACCGGATGTCTTATCCTTTAGGCCACGACGACTTCTATTGATATTTGATAGCTTACAATTGCCAGCTCGAAGGTAGATCCGATCCCTTGACGCAGTGTGCGGCAGTCAAAACGTACATCGGGGCGATCAGCACACCTCCGCAGTAGAAACCCCAGCCAAGAGCTAAAACGTAATATAGGTTATTAAAGTTACTTATTAAACTAGAATACATCTCCGAAATACTGTTACCATGACAGAGTGAGTACACAGAGAACGCGGCTAAACACGACGATACAACGATCTACATTACAAACAATAAGATAAGACTAGTGGCCCCGCAGTAGTCGAGATTCGACTATAATTAATTGAAATTATAAGTTTAAACATTATTATGGTTCTATTGTCAAACACTATTATATTTCGATAATATAATCACGGTATTCGCCAAAACTGCACTATAGAACAATAATATTAAAGGAAAACAATATTGATCTATTTTCAATTCGACCACAGACTTTAAACAATAACAAAAGTTTCCCAATTGACAGTAAACAAAGAGTATAATATTTTATGTATGTGTTTGTGTAAAATACATGNTATTATGGTTCTATTGTCAAACACTATTATATTTCGATAATATAATCACGGTATTCGCCAAAACTGCACTATAGAACAATAATATTAAAGGAAAACAATATTGATCTATTTTCAATTCGACCACAGACTTTAAACAATAACAAAAGTTTCCCAATTGACAGTAAACAAAGAGTATAATATTTTATGTATGTGTTTGTGTCAAATACATGGTAGTGTGTGTAATGTTTTCTTTATTGATTTAAAGTATCTTTTATGCATTATTTAAAAAAAAAATTAGCATTATACACTCCTTCTCTATATTCTCTATAAGTGTAAAAAATTTCATACTCCTCCGTCCGCGCAATTTTCGTAAAAAGGGGTACAAAGTTTTTGCCTCACGTATTAATAAGATAAGATAAGCCGTGAGTAATTTTTCCAATTAAGTTATTTACTAAGAATACTATAAGAATAAACGAAAAAAAAAAAACAATTTGACGCACGTAGCTAAGGAAAAAGGGACCGTGGAAATTACCAAAATAGTAGGCGTAAATAAAACTTATAATTTCTACAGAAATCCTTTATGTTGGAATATTTCCGTTCGCACGAACATGTCAGACATATACAGAAAGGTCAAGGTCGCTGACGGCTTGAAAATGCAATCCATATTTGAACTTAAAAGCTTGTTTATGTACCTACGTGTATAGTTTCCATATGTCAAAAACAGATTAAATAATTTGTTGCAAATAGACATGTATCATCATGAATGGCATAAACTGAATTAATCGGGGCGTTGTTTTATTCAATTATTACTTTCCCAAAATATCATGTATGTATGTGTGTCTAAGTATGTATAAATATAGCTTAGAAACGAAACAAAATACGTTTTGATAGCAATACGAAAGAAAAAAAAGAACAATTCTGATGATTCTTGTCAGGAAAGTAAGCTAAAGTATAATATTAATATTATATTGTCATCGGTTCTTACAATGTGTGTAAATAGCGCCAAGTTAACGTACATACCGACCCATATATAATTTCGCTGTAAGGAACTAAGTCAATCCATATTGAATGAGCAGTTGTTAAGTTAAAGCAGGAAAAACAACCAACAAGTATTTAAATTTATTATAGGTAAATCTAAAGGATAATAAAATTTTCAAATAAACCGCACTCCCGATATTATTACGTAATAGGTATGTATGTCCGGTTTTTTTATTGCTTAGATGTGTGGGCGAGTTCAAAGTCCACCTGGTGTTAAGTGGTTACCGGAGCCCATAGACATCTACAACGTAAATGTGCCATCCACCATGAGATATAAATTCTAAGGTTTCAGTATAGTTACAACGGCTGGCCCACCCTTCAATCCGAAACGTATTACTGCTTCACGGCAGAAATAGCTAGGTTTGTGGTACCTACCCGTGCGGACTCACCTACCACCAGTAAGTAGTATTTATCTGTAATGAGTGCCCAATCTGTACCTATCTGTGAGCTCGTCCGATCTAAAAATTTTAAATGAGTCGTCTATTATCAAAGGTGGCAATCTGTGCATTTGGACAACAAATTTTTATTGATATGTCAATACAGATTGATTTGAATATAATCGTCTCCTTCAAAGAATACGGTTCAAAACCTGCATTAAATGAAGGTTAATACTTAACCTGTTATTTATCTAAGATGTTGTTCAGAAGAGTTTTGTGACTGCCAATGGAATACAAAGTCAATAATTCGTTTTTCTGATTTTCCAATAATAATCCAAAAGTCACATTGCCGGCTTTGATAATAGTCGACTCAAATATCAGTTTTTAAAACACAACTCACGTTTATCGTATCTCAATAACGCCATCCACGGATGCTCGTCGATTTCAGTTTGTATACCTCCAAATATTCTGTCATTATTTTGGATACCACAGACTTTTTCGTTCGGTAATATTGACGTAGGATTCGAGTTAGTGCTGGCACTGCTGAAAGCACTCCTCCGTGCCAAGAATTCTGGCGGGCAGCAAATCTGGAATTAACGATTAATTCTTATAATATACTAGCGAACCGCCCTCGCATCGCTTCGGAAACATTTATTATTGATAGGCGAGTCCTGCCATGTTGCGCGCGGTACGGTAGGACAATAACAGCGGGTGACGCCGCTGTGCGAAGCTAGTCTAAAAAGAGTAGCCTAAGTTACTCCTTATATCATCAGCTACCTATTAGTTAAAGTCTCATCAAAATCGGTCCAGTCGTTCCAGAGATTAGCCGGAACAAACAGACAGACAGACAGACAAAAATTGTAAAAAATGTTATTTTGGTGTATGTACCGTATAAACATTCATATGCATGTGTAGTAAAAAGTGGTTATTTCAATATTAAAAAACAGACAAAAACTCTAATTATATTTATATGTATAGATTACTAGCCGTACTCGCCCGCTTCGCTGGGCATTTAAAATTAACATTATTATAAATTGTCATTATTATTAAGGACACCAACACTCATATAAATATTAGCCTATCCATTAAGTACATGTATTTTCTACATGGATACCAAGTTTCAAGTCAATCGGATGCATGGTTCAGTAGTTATAACGGAACATCCGTAAAAACCACTGTAGATTTATTTTATATAATATTAAGTATAGATTATTTTGTTGATTATTTAAAAGTTTTATGTGCGTGCCTAAAACTATTTTCCATTTAAAAAAAATATTTCATAATTGACGAAAAATTATTCATAATCTCCTGGTTACACAAAACAAACCGAAATTTCTAGAACAAAATCAATCGGCCTCGTTGTGAATGATGTATCCACAAAACGAATCACCTCCTACACTGAAGATTTTAACCCTGAATTTAATAACTTACATTTCACGTTCATTAAATAATATACGGCATTTCGAGAACATTTCACTTTTCGTGGACTTAATGCGATTTTTTTTAAGGCAAAATTAGGAAGTTTACAGAAACTATTTATTTCCTATATATCACAAAAAAAACTATAAAAATACATAATGGTATTTACAAACTTTAAAAAAATATACAAACTGAGCTATAGAAACCTAGTCTTTCACTCTTCTCCACTGAAAAACACACTTCAGTGAAAATCTAAATTCGAACACTATTCTCGTGAATCCTTGGAGACGCCTAACTGTCGGTGATTGAAGTATTTTCGGACAGGATAAAGTATTACATACTACAGGATATTTATGACGTCATTAGGCCACAAACTAAAATTTTGAGAATATTAATGAGTAATATATAGTGCGATCTGGAGTTATAAGATTTCGTTGTATTGGATTGGTTTTTCTTTATAACAAAACCGAAAGACGATTCCTTTACCCGCTGAATTTCTCGCCGGATCGTCTAAGTAGGTCGCGATTCCGATCCGGTAGTAGATTCAGCGAAGCACTGCTCTTACTAGGGCTAGTGTTTGTGTCTATGGGCTAATTCGCACGCTGATTTCCGGTGCTTGAAGAGCCTAAAATCACCGAGAGTTTTGGGGGACGGCGGCTTTGCTTTGCCCCGTCGCCTGGGTCGGATATGGGATATGTAGTTAGCGATGGCCACGATAAGAGGATTATCGTGCCGCGCTGCTTTTTTAAAGTGGCGTTCGGACGCTTCTGAATACCTACGTATCGGTTCTAGATTTAGGTCGTCGTGAAGATCTACATTCCTCACATGCCACGGTGCTCCGACGGCTATCCGGCAGAAACGGGATTGTATGAACCGCAGAGAGGCGGCCTGAGCAAACACTACACTTGCATAGGTAAAGACGGAACGTATGCAAGTTTGGTAGAGTGTCACCTTGTTATGAAGAGATAATTTACTTCGCTTGCAGATTATCGGATAGAGTCGACCGAGTAGGAACGCGGCTTGGTCGCGTACTGACTTAATATGGGGTATGTCATCCCCCTGTCGAGAGTGACGCACAAGTACTTAGCTTTCGAAGCCCACTTTCAAAGTATACTTGTAAGTAATAAGTTTGTGATTACCGGAGCCTATGGACATCAACAATCGAAGTGCCACCACTCATGACATGAGTTCTAAGTCTCAGTTATATAGTACAACGGCTACCCCACCCTTTAAACTAGAACGCATTACTGCTTCGCGGCAGAAATGATTAGGCTTATTGATATCACTTTTGTGAGTAACAAGAACCGCTTCCTATCGAGTAGGTACTCCTCGGCCTCCCACAGCTGAGCCTCGAAAGTCTGTATAAAAATCCCTTAGCTGCAAATTGCTAAAATCACAATACCTTTTTTTACTGGTGGTAGGACCTCTTGTGAGTCGCACGGGTAGGTACCACTACTCTGCCTATTTCTGCCCTGAAGCAGCAATGCGTTTCGGTTTGAAGGGTGGAGCAGCCGTTGTAACTATACTGAGACCTTAGAACTTATATCTCAAGGTGGGTGGCTTTTTACGTTGTAGATGTCTATGGGCTCCAGTAACCACTTAACACCAGGTGGGCTGTGAGCTCGTCCACCCATCTAAGAAATAAATAAATAAATAAAAACCTTTGGGGAATTCAAATCTTCGAAGCCACAATGAAGGCCTCGCAGCAACCTCGTTAACTGAGGCGAATTTCCTTGTTTTAGTTGCTGGAACAAGTCTGTGCATTCTTCTAAAGGTATACAGTTGGCACCGCCGTTGCATTTCTCTGTAATAATGAGATTATGTTACAATATTATGTACAAGCTAAAAAAACGTACAATCGCCAAACAAATTTATTATAGATCTCTGATAATTTATTCGCGCTTATCGCGATGTGTTTTCCCCAATGTCTGGTAAACAAACTTACGGACCCTCTGCAGTTAACCGGTTATCGGAGCTGGCTATGACGTGAGACAGTCTAAGACTCAATTTGTGTTTGAAAACTGGTATCCTAATAATCCGTTCAAATCGTATTGTATGAAGTATTTAATAAATAAGCACGGCGATGGTTACCACGATTTCCACGATGGCAACTTATCACCGGAACATGCCATTGAAAAACACTTACATTTCCAAGAAAGAATTATTAAACATTTGATTTAAAAATAATCGTAACATATAATTATAAAATTGTATGCACGGCTGCTTTTCGCTTGCAAATGATTGAATTTAGCTAAGCGCTTGTGTGAAATTAATTTTGATCAAAAATGTGATAGCATTACCTACAATACGTTAGGATATAGGAAAATAATACGTGCAAATATTTTATTACATTAATAGTGAAATCAAACCATTCTACAAACGGTCAAGATTTTGGTAGGTACCACGAAAGTACAAATGAGGCCAATTTTTTTTATAAATTTACTATATTATTTACTTTGATTTCTTATTTTTTTCTTTTGTAAGATCCACTTAAATTCACAATCTTAATTAGTGCTTGTATATACTCCAGTGCAAATTTATCTATGTACTCAGTACATACGTAGAATCTTGCTCGACAGCAGCTATTTCATGCGTTACATCCCAACGTTATCATTAACTTGACATAACCGTTTTCCTTGTGAACAATTCTTGCAAAACGATCATTGATAAATACCCGTATAATGTTTTCCAATGTTTCCACAAAATAGTTTTAGTTGCGTAATTCATTTGACGGCTATAAATGGTTCGTTATAATCTGTACATTTTACACATCAACGATAGAACTCCAATGTTTTTTATCTGCATTTTGCGATCATCTTAACGCTCGTTATGTTCTTGTGGAACTAACCACAAGCCGGATCGTTGAATTGTCTACGGTGCTAATTGCTTTTAAATTGTGTAGGTGATTTTTAGTGATATATTCATGCAACTTGATTTTATACTCCGAATCAAGTATTGTACGAAATCTTTTACCGTATAATGCTTGCCATCAAAACCACCTATCTTGGGAAGTGATGATATAAAAGCTATTTTTAAAATACCTACGTTACCACAAATGTTGAACTGTAAAATACTTGATTTAACTTAAGATTAAATTAAGGCCAATCGTAGTGGCAAAAACTAGTGATGTTTATTTAAGTTATTAAGGCATACTCACGTCCGACTACATTGGACGACACGACCACAAGTATACAGCTGATGATTCGTATCTTCTCGAACGGGATTCTCATTTTAAAACGAAAATAACTGAATTTAATAATAAATAAAGAGTACAGAATACAGTGGTTCCGCGGACGCACAGCGCACGACTGATAGCTCACTTAGCCGATCCTGACTTTGTCGCTGACCACAAACTTAAGGTTATCAATAAATAATGTTTTCTCGAAATCGATTTTAGTACATTATGTAGAAGCTACGTATAACGCGTACCTCAATTATAGTGGTCGCGACTCGTCTGAACCTACAATAGGATTTTCCTCGTAAGCTCATTCGCACCATTGGCGTCAACTACAATGCTAATATCGGACTAGATATGCTCGCGTCCGCTCATAAACAAATTTGAGAATTTGTTATTGAAACTCCGAAACCTGTTATGTGAAGACAAGATAGGCCAGATCGACGGCTTGCAACTTAAACGAATGATGACTTGTTGAAGGATTTACTCGTTTATTAATTAAATGGATTTCTGTGCGATCTGATGTGGAATATTAATACGGCCAAACTAAGCGATAGGGTTTGCTACTATATATGAGTCGACTAGTATCAAAGCCGGCAATGTGACTTTTGGACAATTACTGGTAAATCAGAAAAACGAATTATTGACTTTGTATTCCATTGGCAGTCAAAAAACTCTTCTGAACGACATCTTAGATAAATAACAGGTTAAGTATTAACCTTTATTTAATGCAGGTTTTGAACCGTATTCTTTGAAGGAGACAATTATATTCAAATCAATCTGTATTGACATATCAATAACATTTTTTTGTCCAAATGCACAGATTGCCACCTTTGATAATAGACGACTCATATCATGATTTAGGAACCAATGGATTTGATTTTTTTATATATTTAGCTTCATTGAAGATAGAGTCATGACCTACTTTATCTTATGTGGCCATGTCACTCATGGACGTCGAGAACACCACGACACTTCTTATACTACTAGCACATGCGTTATGATCCTCCCAAAAAGGCCTCTACTATATGCATTTTATTTTCAAACCACTAGATTTCACTAGAAGAATGAGTTCATAAAGATTTTTTTTTCTAAAATACATAGTTCGCGTATCTTCGTGATTTATTATTAATAATGTTGTAAGGTTTTACGGGATTCCCTCAGTAACAGCCAGTGAAGTAGGTATCATATATCATATAAAATATTTTTTTTAACATTTCTTTTGATTTGATCGTAAATGGTTTTGGTTTTTGCACACACACACACAATTTTTTTGTCACATACTGGGGCTATTTCTCTCTTATAAAGAAATAACAGACCACAATAAAGACAGCTACATAAATATAAATTAAATATAAATAAATATAAATATTTACAAACAATCACGCCACGTTAACTGGTCCCGTGATAAGTTCGTAAAGAACTTGTGTTACAGGTACCAGATAACGGAAATAAATGTAAGATTTTTATTATACACATACATATATTTAATATACAACCATAACCCTGGAAAAGACATTTATATTTATCATATAAATATCTTCCCTTGATAAATGATAATAATATAGATCTTGTTGGGAAGGAAGGATCAATCCTCGTTTTAATTTCTATCTTGACTTCTTCCATTTCTCAAATGCCTATTATGATATGCGAAGCTGTTAAGACGTGAAGTTGAACTGGTTTTACCATCTTCCCAACCATTTCTGACGCTAAATCTGCATGACAGGAAAGCTGTTAGCCCAATGAAAATAAAATTTCGATCTCGTCTATAAAAATAAGCCGCGGTGTTCATATTGTTGTGTTTTAGGTGACACCGTCAGTAAGACAATTTAACGAAAACGTTCAGGCGTTTATATAAGAATATAAGTTCGGAATTCTGTAATCATTTTTATGTACGAGCTCACGGCTCTCTTAATAATGAGTTGTTACCATTGCTCGTTTTTTTCTCCTACCTATGCTGGTAGCCTTGAGAGGCTATTTCAGCTTCTCCTTGACGTGCAGGTAGACGTGATGGTGCTCAAACCGGAGTGTTGCTAACACTGGCCCTAGCAAGGGCAGTGCTTCGCAGAGTCTACCACCGGATCGGAAACGCGACCCACTGAGAAGATCCGGCGAGAAACTCAGTGGGCTGTGTCTATGGGTTCATTTACTCGTCAAGCCCTTTGTCGCAAACAACGGGCTCGGCGAGGACGGTGACCGGTCATTGCTCATAGATGTCAGCAACGCCAGGGGCACAGCCAAGTCGCTGCCTGCCGCTAAGTCATGTCCGCAAGCCTCGTTTAAAGAAAGGCATGTCATAAGCCAATCAATCGGGAAACATTAGGACGGGAAATTAATTCCAATGCCGAATGAGTGTGTACTGTGTTGTGTTAACGAAGCACGGTACTTGATTGGTGAAAATATTAATTCTTTCAATCAATTAGAATTAATACAAAGCATAATAAAAGTTTTCAAGTAATTAATTTTATTAATAAAACAAATATTTAGAATTCTAGATTTTGTTTGCATTGCGGGCCATATCATGAAACAATTTCAATCCTAAAAAGAAAAAAGTTAAGCTTTTACAAAGATTCCAATTAAACGGATCATTGTGAATCGCTTCCCAAATGTTGCAGGCACTTGAAAAGGCCTCCTTCACATAAGCCATTGACTGAAACAAAAATTTATATTTATTAAAACTTTACTCATTAAAGCACAATTAATGACGTAAGACTGAAAATTCAAAATAGTTGTCGTGTGTTTTTTTTTCATTTTCTAAGCACATATTAATTGTTTTCGTTTGAGAAAAATAATTTAGTGTTGCCTTTAATGTAAGCTAGTAAGAATTTTCTTTGAGAAAGCGGCGCAATACGATGACCTTCTTTATCGAGATCGCCTCGAACTAAATCTTCGACCCGGGCGATGGGGCAACACAAAGCTACCGTTGTCCTGAGCATATCCTATTGAATCCGCCCCATCCACTTTTGGTATTTTTGGGCACTCCAAGCACAAGCTCTCGATGAACTCGTCGATCGAAAGCTCGAGGTGCAACTTGGCCCATAACGCCCTGAGTTTCTCGCCGGATATTGTCAGCGGGTCGCCATCTCGCCGATACCAGATTCAGTGAAGCACTCCTCTTGTTAGAGTTATTTTTTAGGAGGTAAGTATAACGTTTGGCCCGTATACTTTTCCAGTTTCATTAAGACAGGATAATTCACGTTGTAGTGACTCCGTTTATCATTTAACACATCAATGTTTACGAAAAAAAAAACTTCTAAATGAAGATTAAAAACAAACCTATATCAAAATATATTTCATATAATATATTATATCCCTGAGCAGCCAGACAATTCTCAACATCAGAACCACAATGTCAGAAGTGCTACTTAAACAACAAAAGCAAAATAAACCTTTTCGTCACAAGAATACATGACTTTAGGTCTCTATAACAGATTTGTTGTTGACGTTTTAAATATTAAAGGTTAAATGTTAATTTGATTATGTTAGTAGACGATGTTATTACGATCAATAATATTTACGTATTTTATTATAATGACCTGATACGCATCTCGCAGATAACAAGTGTGCTGTGTAATAATGATCTTAGGGAAGAATCAGAAAAACTGCGTTTGTATAAATACCTAAGTATGTATATCCGAAAAATCCTGTGTGACTATTCAATCATCTTGGCAAAGGATATCGGCACACTTAAAAAGAAAGAGTCCTTTTAAATCCCAGACTTGTCACGGACTTGTATGTGGTCACGAGGGCACTTTGGAAAATGTAAGCTTTTTTTTCTACCTGTGCTGGTACCCTTAGAGGACTATGCCAGCGTTACCGAACGAATAAGTGAGCTCGGGGCTCTAACCTGGTGACGATGCTAACACTAGCCCTAGCAAGAGCAGTACTTCGCAGAATCTACCACCTGTTCGGAAACGCGACCCACTGAGAAACTCAGAGGACTGTTTTCTGGGTTAATTTACTCGCCGAACCCTTCGTCGCAAGCGACGGTTTCGACCAGAACGATGACCGGTGTTTGAGGTACCTAAAAATACCATGCAATCAATAGCTATTGTGAGATAAGAAATGGGGAAAAGAAAACTCTGCGCTTATACCATTCCACAAACTCGAAAAAATATACTATTATAAATTCTGTAATGAAGTACTTATCTTAAAATCTTTAAAGTAATAAATTATATTTTCCTCTAGGAGTATTCAAAATATGCATGCTTATGCGGGTCACGTGAAAGTTAGGTTTTTATTATATTTATTTATTTATTACACTTCATGTAAAATTTACATTGGCGGAATTAATGCCTAAGGCATTCTCTACCAGTCAACCAAAGGTAGTGCAGAGTGAATAGTGGTAGGTGCAATGAAATTTATATTAAGTTACAAAAAGTATATACATACATACATACATATAATAGTTTATACAGTATTAAAAGGAATGTATTAATAGATTTCCTTAACAAATAACTTCATCTTAATAAGTTCATGATGATCCCGCTAACTTGTCCAACAACATTCGCCGAACCCTTAACTTGAACGCGCAACGGTTAGTAACAGTCCTGATCTCGAGAGGAAGCGCATTCCATACAAGAACAGATTGCATGACGAAAGGGTTACGAACACAACAACATAACTAGAACTGTGTGGGACAACGAATTAATAGGCTATGGAGAGAACGTAGGACCCGCTCATGGCTGGAGTGAAAATATTAAAAATAGAGAGTTAGATAACAAGGAGGTTCGGGAGACATAAGTAAGGAATGAAGAGTCGTCAGTGCACGTAAATTACGACGCTGGCGAATCGGTAGAAGTTTGAGCTGAGCACGATAGGAAGATATATGATCATATTTACGAAGATTAAAAATAAATCGAATGCAGTTATTAAGAAGACGATCAAGTTTATTAAAAAGGTCTGCATTCAGGTCAAAATAACACACATCACCGTAATCAATTATAGGGAAGATCAAGGCTTGTACTAGCATAGTCTTAGTTGCTGATGGTAAGAAATTCTTGAGGCGATACAGAGCACGAAGAATTCCAGAGTTTCTTTGTCCAACGAAAGATACTTGAGTTTTCCAGTCGAGTGTGGAGTCTATGTAAAGGCCTAGGTTCTTAACCACGGAACTTAGAGGAATCACTGTACCATTGTTGAATATAGATGGGAGTGACATAGTAGTTAAGCGTTGGACCATACGAGGACTACCCACAATAATGGCTTGGCATTTCGTTGGATTCACGGTTAAGCCAAACGGTTGACCAACTACATATGTAGTCCAATTCCCTATTTAACTGGTTTATTGCCTGAGAAATAGACTCCACAGTCGTC